TACCTTCCACGTCCACCGGTAAATCGCAGCTCGATCGCCGTGACTCTCGGTCTGCTTCTCTTTCCAAGGCCAAATGCTCTGATGGTTAGTTGTTTGTGTTGGTTACTTCATTTCATTTCTTCTCGTTTTTCGTCGATTAAGTGATTGGTGAATCATGTGTGTGTGGAGTTCCAATGCTGCCATTATGATTATTATGTTTTGTTATGGCTTTGAGTGTTCTTAAGTAGTACAACTTGTGTCGTAATTCTTTATGATGTATGCATCTTACTCTTATGCATTTATTAAGCCAATAGTGATGGCATGTCAGCAGGACATTTATTCTGACTTGGATGTCTTTGATTTCCAAGTTTCTTCTAAAAGGGTTTATCTTGAAAATTATTAGTTCTTCTTTTGTTAGTTTTTGTCATTGGACTTTGGCAATCATTTTTGTTGGGCTTTTGGTATCTTTTGCTATTGTGTTTTTAAGTTTTTGCCTAGGATTTTTGTTTTTTTCTTAAATTATGAGAAGCTTTCATCAAAATTTGATGCCTGTTCTTTAACTGCAGAGGAATCTGACACTGACAGTGAAGAATCAGATGTTAGTGGTTCTGATGTAGATGACACATCTTGGATTTCGTGGTTTTGCAATTTGCGAGGAAATGAATTTTTTTGTGAAGTTGATGATGAATACATCCAAGATGATTTCAATCTTTGTGGACTGAGCAGTCAAGTTCCGTATTTCGATTATGCTCTTGATCTGATATTGGATGTTGAATCTTCTCATGGTGAGCATTTCTTTTGTTAGCTTAGGTGGCCATATAATCTTGGGTTAATACTACCTTTCAACTCTAATTGTGTTATATGTCTGACCAGTTATGATACCAATTGGTTTTCCCTTCAAAACTTATTATAAACCCTTTAATTGCAGTTCAACTTTAAAGCTATTTAGTTTTCCTTGATACTAGTTCAGGTCCAAGAAAGCTTAGGGCTGAACAACATGGAAACGTGAACCTATTTGTACTTTTAACAAACCTTTCCCTCCCCTCTCTCTTCTTATTGTCTGTGCTTGTGCAATGTTTGGCTATTATTTCAAGTTTCTTTTGGGTTTTTGTAGGGGACATGTTCACTGAAGAACAGAATGAATTGGTTGAATCAGCAGCAGAGATGCTTTATGGACTTATTCATGTCCGCTACATACTAACCAGCAAGGGAATGTCTGCAATGGTAAATATTCTCTGTTTACATTATTTCCAATTGGTAGAGTTTATTTTGTCTTAGTTACAGTCTTGCATTTGCAACTTGTTCTACAGCTAGAAAAATACAAAAGTTATGACTTTGGGAGATGCCCAAGAGTTTACTGCTGTGGACAACCCTGTCTTCCTGTTGGTCAGTCAGACATACCTCGTTCTAGTACTGTTAAAATCTACTGCCCCAAATGTGAAGATATATATTACCCTCGATCCAAGTATCAAGGCAGTATCCTTTTTTGTTTCACATATGACAATATGTTTATTATATATTCCACATGTCTGAGATCTAAATTGATTGTTTGTAACATCTTTATGGCTAGTTGTTTCACCCTTCTGCAATTGTAGTTATATATCCAATGGTCATTCATCATAGCAGCATCTCATGCTGTTCCTCACCTTTATTAATCTAGTATGAGCACTATCATTAGAGTTGTATTTTTGTCTTGCAGCTTAGTGCTAAATTTGTACATATGGTGCTGGTTTCTTTGACATTAGAAAGATATTGATGGAGCTTATTTTGGAACTACATTTCCAAACCTCTTTCTGATGACATATGGGCACCTAAAGCCACAAAAGCCAACGCAGATCCATGTTCCAACAGTTTTTGGCTTCAAGATTCACAAACCCTGATCATGGAGTTGCAGTCACTCATTGTGCAGCAGCAGATTTGCTGGAGTAGCCTGTTCATCCATTATGGACGATACCCAAACAAGCAAAGGTGAAGCAGGATGATTGAATTCCAAAACAACTGTGAAGTGTACTTTCGAATTTAATGTGGCCTTTTATGCAATTTTTTTTCCTTCTTGGGCTAAGAATTGTTATTTTTTGGCCAGTGGGCTAAAAATTGTATTGGGGGTGCCCGACGGGCGAAGAATTGTTTGGAAGTCATTTTCCTTCATGTTGATGATATCACATGCCTGCAGTGCCCTCATATTCTTCTAGTTTATATCACATATGTGTCAGGCCTATAAAACCCTCTTAGAAGACTAGATCAAACTAGGTTAAAACCCCTTTTTGGTCCCTGAACTATTGTACGGACCCCCGATTTGGTCCCTGAACTAAAAAAATCCCTAATTTGGTCCCTACTGTTTACCATTTTTACCCCGATTTGGTCCTTCCGTTAAATATCCGCTTACGTGTCTTGTTACTTCACGGGGAAAAGGATGACATGTCAAATATTAATACACGTGGCAGACAATAAGACCAAAAAAAGTGATGACATGGAAATAATAATAATATAAAAAGATATTATAAAAAATAAAACTTAAAAAAAAATTTTTTTTTTCCTGTTCTTTCCTTTTCTCTTTCCCCTTCCCCTTCCCTTTCTCTTTCCCCTTCGAACGCCAGGCGTGGTCTGGGTTCGACGCACGCCTGGGTTCGACGCACGCCTGGGTTCCACCGAAACCGAACCCAGGCATGCTGGGTTCGCTACTGGGCTCGGTGGAACCCAGGCATGCTGGGTTCCACTGAACCCAGCGCCTGGGTTCGATGCCCAGCATGCCTGGGTTCCACCGAACCCAGCATGCCTGGGTTCGATGAAACCCAGGCGCTGGGTTCCTTAAGATCCAGCCCTGGGTTCCAAAAAAAAAAAAGAAATTTCTGTTTTCTTTCTTTGTGTTTTGTTGTTTGATGATATGAGAAATTGATTGATGAAGATAGGCAGCCGTTGGGTTTTTGCAGGTGGATGAAGAAGGCATAGGTGCTGGGTTCGAAAACGAACCCAGCAAGCAATCGAACCTAGCATTGAACCCAGCAGCCGCTGGGTTTCTGCAGGTGCTGGGTTCGATTTCGAACCCAGCAGGCACTGTGTTCAAGCTGGGCTCCTGTAGGTGCTGGGTTCGAAGGTGCTGGGTTTGATTTCGAACCCAGCAGGCACTGGGTTCCGTTTCTAACCCATGGATCTGTTGGGTTCCATTTGTTTATTGATTTGTTGAGTTCCATTTGTTTCAAACTCAGTAGTAGTTGGGTCGATGGATCTGTTGAGTTCGATCTATTTATGGATTTGTTATCTATTGTGTTATCCTCATATTCTTACAGGTGTGCTGGATTCGATTTCAAACCTAGCAAGCGTTAGGTTTTCTTTCCAACCCAACTGCAGTTGGATTGAAGGATCTATTGATTTCTATTTGTTGGTTTGTTGTGTTATTCTCGGATTTAATATTAGGAAATGTTAGGGTTTGCAGAAGGTGAAAGGAAAGGG